TTTTATGGGAGGAAAAGTACTGCAGGCATTTATTTGGCATCATGCACAAATGAAGTTGATCACTTTTAATTGTTTAATTTTTATTTAATTTGATGATCTACAACCGAAATACTAAAATACTTGGGGGGGGGCCTGGGTTTTAACCTAATAAATTCTCAGGGCAAATGTGACTGCCTGTTCATAAGTCTGATTCCACTGTGCCAGGCTTCCCAGTGGCGCTTTAGGTAATCTGTTATTCAGATATAACTGCAGTGCCAAGTTTCTATTTAAAGAGGAAAGGAAGTGATTTTGTATTTGTCCCCCTTAAAAGAAAAGCCTGAGGGACAGATTATGGTCAGAGTAGCAATGCTGAAGTTATTGAGGCAGAAATAACTTGGGTAGAAAAAAATATAAAGTAGCCCCAAGAGGATTAGCACATTACTAAAATGCCGCCACATCAACCTCATTAGACAGTCCAACGATAATTTTTCTATTGTAAGTACACTGCATTTTTATTCACAATGGTGTTAAGCTAAAAGGAATAATTATCTTTTCTTGAATTTTAACAAAAGATTTTACAATGACAAAATAGTTTACTGAAAATAGCAGTTGAGAGGCCTGTTATAATTCTATTGTTACTTTCAGCGCAGATGCCATGTCACATGCAAAATGCCAAGACCACAGAAAAATATTTTTAACTGGGTAAAAATATGTGACATTTAAGAAAGAAATGGTAGTGCCTTGATTCATTTGTTAATTGAACATTTCAACATTTTCTACACAAGATTGTCTGAAGGTTATAGAATGTAAAAAAGATTAAATCCTTGCCCCCATGGGATTTATATTTTTACACAATTAAGATAAACTGTTCTTTGTAATTTATTATATGTGGGAGGAAAAAAGAGAAAGGCAGATACAGCAAATGTATTTTTGGCCTCATCAAAGAAAGATCTTGATATTGGTTTTAAAACGACAAAAGATGATAGTTTGGGCTGGACATTAAGGGGATAAAAAATGCCCTCATGAGCAAAGTGGATTGAGGAGAAGCTGGAAATAGGAAAGAAACATTGTAAGATGCGAGAGAGACTTACATAAACTTCAGAAGAGATCAGATAGCAGTTTAGAGAAAACTAAAGACAGAAATTGTGTTTACTCATTGGCAAGTTTTTTTGTTTTGTTTTGTTTTGTTTTTTTAGCAATATTTAAGGTAAAGAAATGTAAAGTAGAATAGAAATAGATCTTTTTTTTTTCTGCCTAAAGTCTGGACCTAAATAAACAACAGAAGCAAACATTTTAAAGTTTAGGAAGTCTTGGAATTTCTATCACATATGGGCATCAAAGCTATAGGTAGTGAGATGAATGTATGTATTTGGTACACTGTAAATGACACCTCAGTAATGTTTAAACAAAAAAGCACTGTCATTTTCTGTCGTCTAAAATAGAGACCTAAATTGAACTTTGGAACAGATTTTTCCCATTGTTCTGTAAAAAAAGTACATAACATTGGAAGAGAGAGAGAGAGAGAGAGAGAGAGAGAGAGAGAGAGAGAGAGAGAACACTACTCATTCTTCCTTACGGAAAAACTGGATGCAAAGAAGTAAAGCAAACATAAATACTACAAACAGAATGACTGGCTACTCAGTTTAGAAATGTAAATCGAGTGTGTTCTTAGGGATTGTAAGTCCCTGCAAATCTTATTTCTGATAGACAGATTTCCTTTCCTACAAGTGGGTCTAGAATTTTTTTTTACATG